TGAAGTGTGCACCCTTTATTGGCACTCTTTTTCTTGGTGACTCAGGGGAAAAAAAATCATTCAGGAGAAACTTACTGATTGGGATATGTGAAGATGAACCAAATGATCAGTCACTCTCCAAAGGGATCTGGCAGGAAAGCTGTATGTTTGTGAGTGGGGATACCTGAAGAAGTGTGCATGCACATGAAAGCTCATACCAGTAACAAACTTAGTTGGTCTCTAAGATGCTACTGGAAGGATTTTTTTTATTTTGTTTCGACTACGGCAGACCAACACGGCTACCTACCTGTAACTAGAAGTGGGGAAAGGAGTTCAGTTAATGCTAACATACAAAGGAAAACCTAATTCAATTAGTTCTTTCCTGGAGGGAAAAGGGAGCCAGGAGTTAAATCCACCTGAGGGTTTAAAATAACATACCCACTTATACATGTACAATCAGAACCTTATTCCAGCAACACTCTGACAAGCATCTCTCTTGCTCTTTTTAAAAATTGTTGTTTAATGGGAACCATTATATGAACATAAGAAAAGTCCTGCTTGATAAGACCAAAGGTCCAATGAATCCAGAATCTTGTTCTTCATAGCAGCCAGTCAGATTCCACCAGGAAGCCTACAAGCAGCACATTGAAGGCAGTAACCCTTCCTGTTTTTGCTTCCCAGCAACTAGCTATCAGAGAGATATAATGTCTCTGATGATCTTTCCTTTTGTTTAGCCAGATGGTATGAAACTATGAACGGTACTCTGATCTCTCTTACACAGCAGTAATTCCACTGGTGAAGGAAGTCATGCCCATGTCAAAAGGGCACGAGGGATGGATGGTATATTCAGGCCCTAAGAGTCATTTGAATGGCCAATTCCTTCTCACTTACTAAGCAACTCTAGTAATTTGTCCTTAAGTGCTTAGAGACACTGTTGTGTTGTCCTGTTCTCCACCCTGGGGATTGCCAAGGGAATATTTAAATAGATTTTGGGGTCAATGCAAGGTGATTCACACTCCCCACTCCAGTTTAACTTGGCATTTGAAGAAAGTCATCAGAACCAGATTAGAACTTTTGATGTTGGTGTTCATCTGAATGGCAGCCACAAGCCTCTTGCAGATGCTGATATAAATTTAACAGCAGAACATTTGAACACATTTGAGGAACTGCTTCAAAGATGGACTTGCACAACAACAAAAATAGGTTTGAAAAATATTGGGAGCACATCCCATTTCTCAGTAATTAATGGAATCTGGACGCTAAGAAGCAACACAACACAACACAACACAACACAACACATGGTCAGTGCTAGCTTCGTACTTTGCATCTTTACAATGACTGCTAGGGATGGAAGGATCTGTCACTTTTGGTTCTTTCAGTTTCTTACTTTTCCAATCTTAAATTCAATTCTCCGCATTTCTACAGCAATTTGTATTGTGCCCCCCCAACCATCAGGAAAACCCATTATTTTCATGTGCATTTCTCCTAATGCACACATTTTTGCAAGCATTTTCTCCTAATCTTTGTATGCAGTTTTCACTTATTTATTTTTATTCATGCTTCCCCCTAATATATGCATTATTGGAAACATTAGTTAGAGAGGTGCATCACAAACTTTGGATAAGTGCACATTTCAAAGAATGGCTGTTTTTCAGTTCTCATGTTGTTTCAGAAAGTGCGAATTTGAGAAATTTGGCCTTAAATGTGAACTGAATTTCTTCCTTATTCCTAGTGCAACATTCTATCCCAGACAAAGAGAGCAAGACCAATCCGTTTTACCCACTAAGAGGTACTCATTCTCTCCTCTGCCCAGCTTCTTACTTTGACCTGGGGCTGATTCAGACTCCACAGACAATAGGAGGTGCTGGACTTCGTGGAGAATCACACCAGAACTTTATAGTATTTTTAAAATTAAAACCAAGCTGCTTAGGAATCTAAATCCTATACAGTGGTACCTCGGGTTAAGTACTTAATTCGTTCTGGAGGTCCGTTCTTAACCTGAAGCACCACTTTATCTAATGGGGCTTCCTGCTGCTACCGCGCCACCGGAGCACAATTTCTGTTCTCATCCTGAAGCAAAGTTCTTAACCTGAAGCACTATTTCTGGATTAGCGGAGTCTGTAACCTGAAGCGTATGTAACCTGAAGTGTATGTAACCCGAGGTACCACTGTATACAAAAGTGGAGTCACAGATACCTAATGTGATGCTTGCTTATGTGAGGATGGTGAAAATGAGGCAGGGCAAAAATAGTGACAGATATTTGGTAAAGGAACTATTCAAGGCATCAATAACCCAACAGTCTTCGTTCATAGTAGTCCTGGTGTGCAAATTGGTCATCCAACATGAGTATGGGGTGGAATAATAATCAAACCATTCAATAGATGGTTTCCTTTGAAGTTTCCCTCAGTGTAGCTGGCACTTGTTAACCAAAACCTCCTACAGTTTTATCTAGCAAAGCAAACGATGAGAGGTCTTAGCGCTGAAACAATCTCAATCTATTTTCAAATGGATTGAAATGGACAAGAAGCCCTGCTTGCTGGTGAAGGGGCTGGCCAGGCCTTCATAGTAGATCCTGCTTGTGTCTCATACTTTCATCATGTGTAAAAGCAAATTCATACTAGGCCTCTGTAGTGGTTTGTAGTGGAATGTAACATCTCACCACTCTGTGCAGGAAACACAAATCATGCACATGGTGGTGCCCAGATATGAGCAACTTGTTATGGGCAGGGAGCCAATGCAACATAAAAAAGGCAATGCTCAACTCAGTGACAAATGCAAATGCAATCTGCAATTCAGGGATGGAATCCTCTGCAGCTAATTTTCTTGCGTTATAGCAGGCATTCCCAAACTCGGCCCTCCAGATGTTTTGGGACTACAACTCCCATCATCCCTAGCTAACAGGACCAGTGGTCAGGGATGATGGGTATTATAGTCCCAAAACAGCTGGAGGGCTGAGTTTGGGGATTCCTGTGTTATAGCTTTTGATCCAGTGGAGGCATCTCCTAACAGAAGAGAAGAGGCTACAGTGGAAGATTGGGAGGGGTGTGTGTGTGTGTGTGTGTGTGTGTGAGTGCCTCTTATGTCAGTGCCTCCTTTCCTGACCCGAAACCCTCCAGATATTTTAGACTTTGACTCCTATCAGACCCAGCCACACAACATGGCTGTGAGGCTGAGGCTGATGGGAGTTGTAGTCCAAAACATCTGGAGGGCCCCAGGCTGATCAAAAGCCATTCCACATGTGGAACAGCAGCATTGGATTTCAGCCATACTCTTATTCTTGATCCTGCTTTTTAGAGCATTACAATAAATTATACACTTTGTATCTTATTTTAAAAAGTTTAATATGCCATAGCTTTTGTTGTTGTTGTTGCATCTGGAAGCCAGCATATACACAGTGGTTTCAAGGAGACAGCAGCAGCTGCCATAGAGTCAGGGGTTGTGAAAATGGGTCCCAGAGGCGTGGGTGCGATTTCACTGATGTCAGCAGTTCCACTGGAAACTGTGAGATTGCCCATGGCTAAAGTTGAGTGGGCTCATAAATGCTTGTGGAACGCTGAAGAATAACTTCCACAGCACATTTAAATAGTGCTCTTAAAAGTTCCCAATGAGAAACCAAAGCCTGGTCCACATTTGTTCAGCAAAACTATGACATAAGAATTTAATTCCACCGAAGTAGCACTGGCACTTGGCAACATCAGCCCACCACCATATACCTGCTGCACTATATTGTTACCAGAGCAATGAGACAAGTGTGAAGCAACTTACAGGGCTTTACAGAATAATGGGACCATAGGCATGTTGTTCAACTTTTGACAGAACCAGAAGCTTCTCTGGTCCCCCAAGGTTGCATGAAGTAAGCAATGTTTACAGAGCGCAGCTTCGCCATTCATTTGAATGGCAGGTATAGTTGGCAAAGGGCACGGAGAGATTTTCTGGGGCAAACGCTAACTATAAGAAGTAGTTTAATAGCAACTATGAACAGGGTACTTGAGGCCGGTGTGAGTAGCAACTCGTAAATCTGGAACTGATTCTCTGAGGTGCTGTTGAATACTTTCAGCTCCCACTGAAGCCATTGGAATCTAGCATTTGGCATTTCATGAGTTTGGTTCAGCAACCTCACCAGAATCATTTCATATATTGTAGTAGATGGAACTGATTTGGCTGGGACTAATTAAATTTGATTCCAAAATGGTCATTGTCATCTGACTTAATATGGAATGCAAACATGACTGAACGGTACAAATTAAAAAAGGGAGCAATAAGAAGATTCATTTGTCTACAACTCCAGCAAAAAATAAATAAATCTAAATTTAAGAATCTTAAGGCAATGATTATTTCTTTGTTGGCGCTAATGTTCGCACGATCACATTCACTTAAAATATGTCATCTGGGAAGGGTTGAAGCTCACTGGCAGAGCATCTGATTTGTATGCAGAAGGTCCCAGGAGCAGTTTCTGACATCTACAGGTAGGCCTGGGAATGTCCCCTGTCTGAAACCCCAAAGAGATGTAGCCATTCAGTGTCAACAATAGATGGACCAAACTGTATAAAGCAGTTTCCTATGGGAGGAATTCAGTGCCACTCTACGGTGATCGCAAGCGCAAGCATTTTGGTTTCTTCCCCACACTGTTCTGGGGGTTGTCCCAACTCTCCAACTCAATTCTGTGTGTGGGGGGGTGGGGTGGGAGAGGAGAGCTCAGAAAGCCCCATTTTGTAAGCAGAAATCCTTGTGCAGTGCCTCTGCTAATGAGTCTCCCTGCTTGAACCTTCCCCTGTTTTCCTATGTTCTTCCTTACAAGATATGAAAGCTCCTTTTGTTTTGGAGCAGTGAAATAACAAACACATCTTAAATCTGTAGGCCAGCCATTTTAATTCTGGATATCATGGAGACAAAATTGGGGAATGGAAATTTTTATTCTTATCACTGATCCTGAAACAAGAACCAGGGTGTCGTATTTGTTCCAGTTACAGGTAGGTAGCTGTGTTGGTCTGCCGTAGTCGAAACAAAAATAAACAAAATCCTTCCAGTAGCACCTTAGAGACCAACTAAGTTTGTTATTGGTATGAGCTTTCGTGTGTATTCTGAAGAAGTGTGCACGCACACGAAAGCTCATACCAGTAACAAACTTAGATGGTCTCTAAGGTGCTACTGGAAGGAATTTGTTTATTTTGTATTAGTTCCAGGTTAACCTATTGTGTAGTGTTTGATCCAGAGAAGTTGTGATGCACCTTAGTTCTGTGGATTTGGGATGCAGCAAACATACATTTTTATATTTCTTATCTGAGCACTACAGTTATATCAGTAACAATAACTACTTAATGGATGACTGGTGAAAATTCTTAAGTCAGTTGTACACTTGGTGCAACTGATGATCTATGTAATTTTTTCTGTTAAAAGCAACTGAGATTCTTTCTGCTATCACAGACTTCATGCTTGTACTCTGGAATCTCCTATACTGATGCTTGCTTTTCCTGGGTGAATCTGCCTATTTCAGTTTCTCCCAGTGTTTCTCCTTATGACAATCTTAACTTCAGTTCTCTACTGTCCCATATCAGTTTGGATTTTTTTTAATGTCCTAATGAAAATTCATCTGTGAATTTCCTCTAATATGCACAGGCTTGCACATGATTTTGCCTTGCACACACATTTCTGCAAAGCAACTCACCCAGATAGAATGCATTTTAAAGGTTGTTCGCTCCAATAAAAGCATTTTAATGCACACCTGATCCTAGTACACACATTTTTGTGCTCATAACTTTGATGGGAAAGGGCACTGCAAAATTCAGAGAAGTGTGAAGGATGGTTGTGTTTTGGTCTGTGTTTGATTCGCCTTTAAGTGAGAACCAAATCAACTTTCTCCCCCATCCGTATATGATGCTAAACCCCAAATGTAGGAAATGAATGAAACTATACCTTTTTTTTTAAAAAAAAGGTACCTTTTTTGCAGGTTCATTGTATGACTCTTCTAATACCCGTTGCATGATCTAGGATGGTCCCAGAAAGAGTGGACTAGCATGAGGTGTGTGTGTGTGGATGTCTGTGAATGGCAGAGATTTGATTACATTGGGTGCCTGTTCATTTCCCTTTAAAACTACTCTGCTCCATAATCTAGCTTTGTGCTTTTATCTACAGGATGTATAACCAGCTTTATGCCAAGGATTTGTTAAATGTGTTAAAACCAGTAAAATAAATTAATAACCCTGACAAATGTTAAAACCCTAGCCCTTAATACCACTGTATCTCTGGTTATCAAAAGCCAGCAAAACGATGGGGAAAGTTAACTTTCATTAGCAAATTAGAATTCTTGAGGTCAGTTTTGCATAATCACATCTAGGTTTCTTTTGACTCTCCATGGTGAAAGGAGCTGCTATGCCTTTCTTTATTAAGAACCACACTTTCTGTGTGCACACGCGCGCGCACACACACAGCTTTGCACATTTACCTCTCTACAGGAGGGGAATTGCCACACAAAGACAGAAGACGACGCAGTGAGTGCTAGCATCCTTGATTTCCTGCTACTTACATGAATAAGGAGTAGCTAATGAGTGACAATAAGTAAAACAGTAGCTTTGTGTTCCACCTAAGCTAAAATTAATCAATGTAGTATTTGCAAATACGAAAAGACTTATTTGGCTTATATCACTGTTCAGCCCCTCAGATCTTGTTTCTTCACTAGTTGAGTGAAGCTGCAGTGACTATTTTTCAAGTGGAAGCAGCCGAAACACCAAATTAGGCCTGGCCAGTTTGAATAAATGCTCTGTGCTCTGTAGGAGAAGGCACACAGCTTTGCTTCCCATGATTCCTCAATGCAAGCAAATGGCTGTTCCTGACTCAGTAGATTTGATACTTAGTAAAGCTCAGCTAGGGTATTCCCAGTAAGAGGCTTGCATGGGATCTTTGTTCTTCTGATTAAGACTGCGGTGCAGCTGTTTCATGCACGCTATGGCAAAGGGCACTGAAGCAGCATTTGAAAGCAGATATCCAGAAAAAAGGAGAGGTTCATGAGATTTATAAAGGAAATTGGGATTTAAGTAATACTTTTGTTCTTGAGACATTTAATTTGGGATTTAGGATGTGTAATGAAGACCGAACATATTTATGACATTTCTCCATCATCATCATTGTTATTACATTATCTTCACCATTATCACCGAGTTTTCTTATTTTGTCGCTGAAGCTTCGAGACCAATTTATAGACAGGAATATTCATGAACCAGCAAGATTTTTGTAAGAATCAAGCCTGTATTCATATTCATCCTTGTCGTGTGAATAAAAACAGGTTCCCCCCTGAGGATGTGGGGAATGTCATCCTTGTGAAATCCATATTGCCATTTAGAAGTCAGCTGGGGGAACAACTGAGCTTGTAAGCTCTATTTGGTGTTGTGTTTGCTGCTGGAGAATCAAACCACATGTTTGGAAATTGCACTGAGTAAACCAGTCTGTGTTGACCCATTCGACCATGTTCTATCACCATAGCGGTGAAGCAATGTCATTTCTACCATGCAGATATCATGGAACCTTTGGGTGCATCCAGAGGGAGGTTTTGAATAGGGACAGATGTATGTTTGGAGCACACCCATCTCTCACAGTTTGTACACTTTTGTGCCTTCGACCATAGTAGTCCCTGGCCTATCCCATGTGCCCTGTGAGGCATGGCGAGCATACAGTGAGTGGCGCCCACCTAGTCATCACGCATGTAGTGCCATTGTAACAAAGAGAAAGGGGAAGTACATACATTGTCCAAGTATCTACTTTCCTAGATGTTTGTGCTTGTGCTTTAGTGCACAGTTGTCAAATGCACTACCAGCAAGCACTGCACTCCTAACCACATTTATTTGAAACCAAATGCCACTTATTTCAATGGCATTTACTTTGATTGAAGAGTGCTTAGGCTCGCACTCATAGGACACGAAATTGAATTTACAGTACCTGGTATCCATTACACTCCTGTTTTGGCTTTGAACTGTTGAGAATGGAAGCACAATAAAGAATGGGTGGAATCCAACGTAGGGTTTGTGTGCACCTATGCATGAGGTATGTGTGCATAGAATGAGGTCTGATTGAGCAACTAGACTTCCCCCCTCTCACCTTCCCCTGTGTGCCCCCTCTGCCCACCCCCTAAACATGCCTACCCTCCAACATTTCTCCGATGAAAATAGGGACGTCCCATTCCATAATGATAATTTTACTATTTATACCCCACACATCCTACTGGGTTGTCCCATCCACTCTGGGCAGCTTCCTACAAAAATAAAAACATAATTAAACATTAAATATTTAAAAAACTTCCCTCTACAGGATTGCCTTCAGGCAGCTTGGGGTGTGTGTGTCAGATAACTGCATACCTTCCAACATTTCTCCAACGAAAATAGGGACATGCTAAGGAAGAGTGGGACATTCCGGGATCAAATCACAAACCAGGATGGCTTCTCTAAATCAGGGGCATCCCTGGAAAATAGGGACACTTGGAGGGTCTGAACCTGTTCTGGGTATTCACTAAACCCCCCAGAGAAGATTTAGGTGGTATTGGGGGGGAGTGTGTGTCCAGAGGGAGGGGAGAGAGGAAAAGTGGAATCTCGCCTAATGCATTCAAAGCAAAGAATATGATGGGGGGAAACTCTATTTTGGTAATGCTGCTGTCAAAGAGAAGACCTCAGGAGGGTAATGCTGAGAGCAGCATAATCATGGGGATTAAATATAATATAACTGGAGCACCCTCAATGCGGTTTTGACCTCTAATTTGTCAGTGGTATTATTTGGCAATTGAAATGCTCAAAATATACCACAAAGGTCTGTATGTGTATGTGAAGCTTTCTTGAACTTTGATCTGCTTTAGGTCAAACAATATTAGGTCAAACATTACAACGTAGGTGGCGATGTGAAGTAAATGTGAATATTCTGTGAAGCTTTGCAGAGCATCACGGACTTCTTCAGAAATGCAATTCTCTGAAATGGGGAGCCATGCTTAGGAAGCAACAATGTCTCCCGATATATGGGAAGCCCAAATATGGCTTCTGGGTGAGGATTGAAATACTATGATGCTGAGAATCAGCATTTTCATAACTGAGAAAACACTTTCTGGATCTCCAGATATTTTAATTAAAGAAATGCAAGCTGCCCACACCCAGGCTATTTTAGCAGTCTGCAGGAAAATCATGCCCCACCCCAATTAAACAGGCCTCTACAGCTGTCCTCTAGTGACTGAACAAGACTTGTGTCCCTAGTTGAAAAGGGTACCCCATCTATCAGAAAGGAGAAGATGATTTTAAAATACATTTGATAGGCAGATTTAAGGAACAAACTATGTAGAGTCCAGAACCATCATTTTAATAAAACACTTTACTTTTAAACTTATTTAATTCTGTTCTAAATTCCAGCAGTTCATTTTAGGACTAGACTGAAAGATAGCATAAGCTGCTATTATCCAATTTTATAGTTAAGGCAGGAGGATCTTGCAAACTAAAGTTTGGGGCACAGGAAAATCCGAAACTCTAATTGGGGAAAGCCAGTGGATCATCATCCCCCCCATTTTTTTTGAGGGTTCACAACTTGCATCTCAGTTCTGCTTCAGCTTCACTGGCTTTTCCATAAAGCTATAAATCCAGATTCACTTGTAATTCCTGGTGTCCTAGATTAAATATCAACTTCTATTCAATGGAAATTCTTCTATTCTTGAAATTAAGTCATGAAGTTATGATTTCAATTTTCAGTTCTTCCAATATACCTGAAGGAGAGTCTCCACCCCCATCGTTGTGCCTGGACACTGAGGTCCAGCTCCGAGGGCCTTCTGGCAATTCCTTCACTGCGAGAAGCCAAGTTACAGGGAACCAGGCAGAGGGCCTTCTTGGTAGTGGCGCCCGCCCTGTGGAATGACCTCCCACCAGATGTCAAAGAGAACAACAACTACCAGACTTTTAGAAGACATCTGAAGGCAGCCCTGTTTAGGGAAGCTTTTAATGTTTGATGGACTACTGTATTTTACTATTTTGTTGGAAGCTGGCCAGAGCGGCTGGGGAAACCCAGCCAGATGGGCAGGGTACACATTATATATATATATATATATATATATATATATATATATATATATACTACATTTACAAAATGAATCACACCACTCACAAACCAATCCAATGCTTTGGATTTAAGTAATGCTCC